ATCAAAATGCTCTATTGCCGGTCCAATATTGTCTAAGTATTGGACCGGGCACTGTCCTGAATGGTCCTGAATGATACCGCACTTGTGTCCCTTTGAACTTCAGTCGTATAATAAATCTCTTATTAACCAAGCTTGCTCGGGACTGTACTGGAAGAATATCGACCCTAGATCTTTATTGTACGGACCTCGCTGTGCTCGGTCCATACTGTCAAGACCTCGGGCCGATATTCTCCCAGTACAGCCCTCATGCTTGGTTAATAAGATATATGAAGACTACTCTCTCAATAAGTTTACTGACAATCAGCAAAACAGATATAGGTCTATGATTATTTGGATTAGTTTTGAGATCCTCTTTGTAAATTGGAGTGACTCTGGCTACCTTCCAATCATCAGGAAAAATACCAGTAGTTAAAGAAATATTTATGATGTAGGTCAAGGATGCAGAGACAATAGGTCCCGCCTCTTTTAATAGTTTAGCGGAAATACCATCAAGACCACTTGCCTTGTTCAGCAGTAACGATTGAATGAGTTTTAGTATGATATCATAAGGTGTTTTAGTTAGAGAAAAGACATGTGGCAGAGGAAGAAGATAGTCAGTAAACTTTGCATCTGTGAGGGGAATCTCATTTGCTAAAATTGGCCCTATGCTACAGAAATGGTGGTTTAGCCCATTACTGATTTCATCAGGCGTAGTGTAGATAGTATCGCCAATTTTTAGGTTATGGATTCTGGTGGGTTGCGGTATTTTACCAAGAATGGTATTAATCCTTTTCCAATTGTTCTTAATGTTACCCCGTTGTTCTTGAAAAATGAATTATAGTATGAGACTTTTTGCCTTTTTTATAGCAGTGTTGACCTTATCGGTAAATTCTCCTGAAGTTTACAGTCTTAAGGTATTGATTTTGAAAAGGAGATGCAGTATTCGAGACAAAATCATGTTTTCCAACAGGTGTTAATTAAATCTTCAAGTATATATTCGATCTGACCCTAAGATTCCATTTAAATTGTGTTTTTGGTGTTCTTTGGAATGAGAAAATAGGAGATACCAAAGACAATTACTTGGAGCAATAGCTAGAAACAGTAATGAAAAGAAAACTTCATGAAATACCAGGAGAAAATTGGATTGAAACTTGGTCACTGCAGTGACAGGCAGTCATATCGTGATCATTATGCCAAGGGTCTCTGTCAAATGTTTCTAGCTGAAATTACTTTCTATTTTGATTTTCTTCTGGGTGATATCTTCACTGTTCTTTGTCTTTTTTTTTTACCTCAAATGTTACCTTAAATCACTGGGTGAGAGGTTTTTTTTTGCCTATTTACCATTACTTTCATTTGTTATTAGGGCTGTGGCCGAGCGACACCCAGTGGCTCCTGGCACCTTACTTTTGCTCTTAGGTGATTCAGGAATCTTAGTTTTTTCATAAAAAGCATATGCTGGGCACCCTGGATTTCACAGTTTCAGAGCACTAGGCTTCCTTCTATTTTTCTTAGAGCACTGCCTTGTTGTGCATTACATTTTGGAGAATTACCCAATGCCTCATTCAAAACTTGACTTGTCTCCACATTACTTTCTTTACTAGGTAAAGAGGTTAAGCCGTCTGTGTCCTGCTAATCAGGCATCAGGCACTGAAGTGTTTGTCCTTGATCAACGTGGCACTGATGGTATTCTTGCCCTGGGATTGTTTGAGCTCCATTCCAACTTGCAGTACCAGGAGAAAATTATGCCCTATTTGGTGGATGTTCTTAAGGGTCTGCCAAGTGCCAAATGGCTGGAAGTGCGAGGTCCAGAGCTGTCGCCTACTAGCCCTTTAGCAGGAGAATTTGCTTTCTGTTTTGTGACTCTCATGAGTGGGCTGGCAGCAAAAGACAACAGCTTGGATGGAGACATCATCAAAATGCAACTTAACTTGTTCAATACCTTAATTGATCAGTGCTGCAGGTATCAAGAGCTTCCTGATCTCAAGAAAGGTAAAAAATTGTAAAACACCCTTAATACCAGCATGAATATTCTCCACACTGTTTGCTATACATTTCCTAAGGTACTGACAAAGAGAATTTGTTAAACAATCAAGTCTTCTTTAGTTGATGATCATTTCCTTTACTCTTATGACTTAAATGTGTGTTTCAGGGGTGATATTATATGTGCATTATTTAGTTCTTATTAACCGAGCGGGAGGTCTGTATGGGAGAATCTTGACGAAGGTCGCCTGTACAGACCGAATGCAATGAGGTCTGTACCAGCGACCAAGGTCAAGATTTTCCCATACAGACCGGCCTAGCTCGGTTAATAAGATGTTTATTATATAGCTGTGTCTTATATGTCAATTTTTTATATTCTTTGTACCTTTTTTTTTTCCAAACCAGTCTAGATGCCGGTCTAAATCCAAGGGAAAATCTAGACCACTTTCAATTTTGATTTCAGCTGATCAAATTCATGAATTTGGTAGTTCCCAGTCCTTGTGAGACACAGCCATATAATAATGACCAATATTAGAATTTTTTTGCTCTAATTAATATATCCTTTATTGACCAAGCTTGTTTGGTTAAGATGGCTGGATATTAGCCCAATCAGAACACAGGATTAAGTTCATATTGCCCACCAGTACTGCTGGCTGTATAATGAAGGAAGATATTAATGTATAATGAAGGGAGATAATTATTTGGTGCTGGTCACTCTTTTGGTACAAAGGGTTAAGCTTGATGAAGACTACCACACAAGACTTCTTAAATATTATGATCATGAAAGAAGTAATGCATCACTGATTACTGTGACCGCCTCTGAAGGTATTGCTGAAGATAATTCACAGATCAATACCTTAAATGTTTGTATCACCACTGATTCTTCTTTCTTACTCCCACTCCAGCAAACTTTTGTCGCACAACTGTTCCACTCCTGTTGGGAGTGGCTCAGGCTCTTGGAGTCTCCAGTGTGTATGTGTCTGACCCCTCCCTGATCACAAAGTTGTTGTTTCCCACCAACTCTGGGCATGCTGCTCCCACAGAACCTCAGCTGCCCAAGGCGCTGAGTCGGTCTGCTCCGAGACGGTTCTTGAGTTTTCCACAAGGCCAGAGAGATAGCAGTTATCATTTGTCAGATGTTCAGTTGAATGACCTCATTACAAAGGTAAGTTGCCCATTAAGCAGGGGTTTCATTAATGTTTTTGGCAGGAGGGCAACTGATTTTCACAGGCAGGCAAAAGCTTTTAAACTGAACTTCTTTATAAGATAAACTTTCCTCCACATGGTCAAACCAGGTTAGCAAAACCGTCCTCGCAACCGCTCAATTTGCCTGGTGCCCAGACCCTTAATGAAACCCCTGATTAAGTGTGCATTACATGTAGGGCTTGTTTAATGTTAAGTGTGTTGTTTAGTTTAAGTTATTGTTATTAGCTGATGAAGCCTCCAATGTAATGTACGAAAGTGATCCTTGCAGTAATGAACCCTACTTAATATGTAGTAGTGGAAATAAGCCTGGAAAAAAATCCAGGCCCATGTGGGATTTGAACCTTATGACCTCGCGATACTGGTACAGTGCTCTTCCAACTGAGCTAACAAGCCAACTGGGAGTTGTTGAAGTGATGAATCAATGAATTTGAATATAGGAAAATCTGTACAAGTATTACAGACAGAGGTCATGGGTTCAACTCCTGTGTGGACCTGAACTTTTTTCAGGCCTTATTTCCACTACTACATAAGTGGGATTCATTACTGTGAGGATTGCTTTCTTACATTTCTTGAAACTGCAGTTAACACATATATGATCTTCATATATTCAATTAATTGGAGCCTCTAACCTTAAAAAGGTGTTGAACTCAAATCAGTACCCATCCCTTTGGTAGGAATAGTTGATATCAGAGCCAAGCCTTGATCAGTCCAATGAAAAATCTGAAGTTCACAAGAAGAATACTGAGTTTTCTTTTTTTCTTTTTTTTTGTTTTTTTTTTTTTTCTGGCCTCCCATCTTTTAATAATTGCCATCTTACCACATGTTAAAAATGGTGAAATCTTGCTAAGTGCCCCCAGTTTTTACTCTGGTAAGCACTCTTTCTCAAGGTCCACTTGTTTAAAAGTGCCCAGGGTGCTAATAAGTAGATAACTAAATATGTCGTACTATCCTTAATTTATTCATTGTATGTTTTTTGGACAGGTTGAAAAGTTGATTACTTCTCCAATCCTTCAAGGCTTAGACAGCGTCTTGTCAGACTGCATTCAGGTAATGTCTGTAACAGATGAATTCTAATGGTGAAAATAAATAGTTATGATGATGAGTAGTATACATGCAGCTTTTTTTTTTTTCTTAAAAAAATGGGAATGTTTTGGTGGAAATCTATGCAAAGCATGCTATACACTCAGGTGAATAAACCACCAAAAATACGCTGCAACAAGAGTTTATTTTTGATGTACATGCTACTTTTTAGTTGTCAACACAATTGCCGTTATATTATCAAAAGCTTCAGTCCTAAAGGTTTTTTTTTTTTTTTATATTTATGGTCCTTAATGTTATGCATCTACTATAGAAATCAACTAATCAGAGGCTCTTCCAATCTGTTTAAGGATAAACCCTCCCCCACCCTATCATACTCCTTGGTGGAGAAGACATGTTAACTCAGGAGTGCAATGTCTTGACCATTAAAACCATTTAATTAATATTGCTGATCTGGATTCACTGACCCAGGTTCTTCCAATGTGCCACACTGAATCTTACCTGTAGCTAATTGGATCAGCATGGGATGGTGTTTCCCTTTATGCTATCATGTGAAAGAAGGATTGATTGACTCAGTTTTCATAAGCAGTGTGCTTTCTTGTTAAATCAGGGTGAGATCCAGGAAACAATCCAATTTTTTTTTTTTTTTCTCGACTGATCTACTCCTGTGATTTAGTATGTTTATCTTTGATTCTTAATACTGGAAACTGATTGATTGAATAATTCAACTAGTAAGTTAACCCCATTTGGTTTTTCTGTTGTGATTAGGCAGACCTGTTAAAGAACTCTTTTCCATTCCACTCGTTCAGTGAAGCTATAATGTTATCTATGGTAACATTATTGAGGGATCTTTGCCAGAATACTCCAGGTAAAGATGCATATCCCTCAGTTACTATGATCTAACAACTATCATTTTCTCCCAAACGATAACATTTTATTTTATGTAAATATTTTTGGGCATTTGCCTCTAAGAGACACTCGTGGATGCCTATGTAATGAGCTTACCATAGACAAATGAATCACAGCAGATCCATTTGCAATAAAGGGAAATTAGTATAGAGAGGGAACCTTTATAATGGCATTACTTGTACTTGAAACTTGTTAAAAATCTAACTCTTAGCGTAGGGTAATAATTGCAAATGTAATAAATTAGCTGTACTGATTGCCCCTGGGGATGACAAGTCTGACAGAACAAACCGCCTCCTGGGTAGCTCAATTGGTTAGAGTGCTGGACTGTTGTGCGGGAGGTTGAGGTCGATGGTTCCAGCCCCAGCCAGNGAAACGACCGAACTGTGTGAAACAAGACACTTCACAAGTGGTGTCTGGACTGACTCTGAGGAGCAGATATCTGGGAGAGGTAAATATGGCAGATTTTGACCAGTATATAAACTTATACGTTGAAGCCCCTATCTCAAAGGCGTGCATGTTGCAAAAATCGAGCCTATTGGTTGGTGTGCTGGATTCCGGTACGAGAGGTGGCCGGGTCATTGTGTTTTGGTCTTGGGTACCGTAATTTCCGGCCGTTTACCCGCGGGTAATCTGTTGATTTTGCCTTCAACACGCGCCACTGCGGGTAATAGGAAGGTGCGGGTTATGTGACAATTTTGAAATCTACTAGCAGTTGAATTGAAAAAAGTTCTCACCTACCTGCGTTTCCACTTCTCAAATGAATTTTATTGTATTAAGACTGCCACAAAGTGACACGAAAACTTGCCGACTCGAGTTTATTTCACGCACAATTAGTTGCGTGACGAACAAATTTTCATCGAGACGTAAACAAAACCTTGATTGTGACAAAAATAATCCACGGATATCCGGCGCATCAGTAACAAATTTCCAGCCAAAACGAGCTTGAGCTGAAGAGAATTTTCCCCTTTTAAGGGACTTGTTAGGTCCAGGAGAACTGGAGATATCGGTTTTTTTTTTGTTTTTTTTTTTGATAAATCAACAAATCAACATGGCGCTGAACGATTGCTCATTAACAAATGGTAAACACCACAACGTACACCATTGAGTTATGGATGCACGCGGGAGGTTGCTAAGCACGAAAGAAGCGTAAGAGTCGCTCGAGGCGATAGCCGAGAGCGACTCTAGCTTCTTGAGTGCTTAGCAAACCTCCCAAGTGCATCCATAACTCAATAGTGTACGCTGTGGTGTTTACCATTTGTTTTATAACATAACATTGATACATTGTAGCTAAAGAGTTCCCTTTTATTTAACAAATCTTACGTGACCAGAAAAAAAACAAGCGCGCGCGGAAAAATAGTCTTTGCATTATTTTGTTCACGTCAGCAGCGTACACCCATGGGCAAATGGGGGACGCTAAATTGACCAATCAGAGCGCGCGCTTTACTTTGGTTATGTTAGAAAATGGATTAGATAGATGGAAAAACTGTCCGTTAGACATAGTGACTGATGGATAGATTGACTGAAATTCGCACAGCTTAACAAGAGCAAGAATATTTTTATTGCATGGTCTCAGGTATTTCTGCCAGTGTTGCAAGCAGAGCTTATAATGTCGGCAAACAGGTTTTCACAACAGTGAAGGCAGAGTTTCAAAAGAAATCAGAAAATTCTGCAGCTTCTTTGCCTTGGAAGCTTCAAACTGTCTCAGCCAGTGTTGATCTGATGGTGTGGACAGCAGCATTGCAAGATGAGCAAGGTAGGTCACGTTGACCATGGTATCTTGTACAAAGTTGCCACTAAAAATTATCTGACGAACCCTGCTCTTGCTCAAACCCCACGCCCCAAGCAGTATAGGAACTTCATTTGTAGTATCAACTGCGAAAGGTCTTCCCCTTGCTTCACTGAGTTATGTGTGGTTTTTGTTACAGATGGTGATACACTTTGCCAGAATATTTCAGAGTTCTTGTGCTCTAGCTTAGCTGTATCCTTGGCCCAAACGGGCAGTTGTCTCTTTATCCTGTGTTGTTTGGAAGGGCTTGCTACATTGACAGAAAAAATTCCATCATTAACCAGGTGAAGATAATTTGCAATAAGGGAAGTTTATATTTGCAATATCTCTGTGTATTCAATAACTTAAAACAGAAGTTGTCTGAGAACGGCGATTGTCTTAAAATTATCAAAATATTCGCGAGATAATTGTACATGTAGTAAGATCTGTCACTGGATCTCCACCGTTCTGTTCCATGTCATCTCTTCAGTCTGAAAATTTATCTCAGTAAAATCGTCTCAAATCTTCTCCGAATAGAAATAGATCGCTGTCCTCTGGCATTTTTGTTTTGGTGGTAAGAACTATTCTTGTCATATGATCAATCGTGGAACAATAGCCGATCGCTTAAGTGGTTTTTCCAACTACCGGTAGTTCCCTCTACCAACTTCACTTAATTCTTTGACCCCTCAGAATGACCACCATCTAATTTCTCCTCACAATATCACCCCTAAGCCATTCATTAAGGTTGCGAGAATAAAGGAAATGATCACCAACTAGAGAAGCTCTCGATTGTCAAACACATTCTCCTTGTCAGCTCCTCAGGAAATGTATAGAGAACAGTATGGAGAGTATGCAAACTGATCTTAGGGTGTAATGGGTTGAGATGAGGGCGAGAGTTACTTCTTTAGGTCGATTGGCCCATCACCGCCGTTGTTAATCGCTTGTAATTCCATAATTATATTTAATAAGTAATTTGAAAAATTACCATATTTTTCGTCCTATTTCCCCATTGAAATCGTGTTGTAGCATTACCTTTTACCTGTATTTTATTTTGTAGGCCGGTACTTACCTCTCTCAAAGACTTCCTCCTGCAGCCTGCGCCTTTGCTTGTTAAGTTATCTGAAAATACAAAGAAGCCAACGGCGGCAAACATTGTAATGACGGTGTCGTCAGACACCAACGACAAATATCTCACAGTTGGTCATTCCTCATATAAGGGGACTGATGATTCTCCATATCAGAGAGTTAGAAAAGTTACTTTGGACAGTATTTGTAGGTAGGTTACGATTTTGAGTAGCTTGTTTTTGTTTTTCCCATTGCTGAATTGCAATAATTGAAGACTTCTGATCATTTGACTTTTTAGAGGCAATTTTCACATTGGTGTTAGTAGTCTCGTAGTTTTTGAAAACATTACTACATCAAGCTTAACTTCTTTGCGAGTGAGCGCCATTTCGCCGACCTGAAATAATGAGATTTGGTCGCCAGAAATAGCTTCTCGAGACTTGATAAGGAAGACACTTTGTACAATCTTACTTAATAATAGATGTAAACGTGACCACAAATACCTTGCCCATGGCCGCCGAACACAAGCCTGGTAATTTTACTCTAAATATAATCGCCAAGGTTCTCTGTTTACTCGCTGTTGCGAAAAAAACAATCGCAGGTTGAAGTGAAATTTGAGTTTGCCGATCTGTTTTCAGGGCACTCAAGTCTGGTCAAACTGTTGACGAGAACTGCGTCCAGGCTTTCTTGGCCCGCGTCGCCAACAGACTCTATATTTCAGAAAGTAGTGATGGCAATTCCACTCTTATTTCTACCAACGCCATTCTGACGCTGGGCTATGTGGCGTTCATGTTGCACTCTGTGCCCAAGACAACAGAGTCTGTACTTACAATTCTGCAACAGAGATTTTGTCGTCCGCCCTCATCTCTGGATCCTCTGATTGTGGAGCAACTGGGATACCTTGTTCTTACGGGATCGGTATGGTTACATTTAACTCCTAACACCCTCAGTTCAGCATGCATATTCTCCATATCGTTCTTTGTATACTTCCTGTGGCACCGACTAGGAGAATTTAGTTAACAATCAAAGGCTTTTCAGGGTTGCTATCATTTCTTTAATTCTCGCAAGCCTCATGTTTGATTCGGTGGTGATACTTATGTGAAAAATTCTATGTAGGTGCCGGTCAACCTAAGGGTTTCAAAGAGTTAACTGTCTTAAGCTTCGTTTACGCGGCATTAATTAGTTCTTAAAGAGCTTTTCGACTGAGTTTTGGATGACTTTATCTTAAGTAATCACATCAGCTAATCAGAACAAAGGAATTTATCACGTGGTAATTAGCAAATCGGCTGAAGGGCGGGAAAACGAGCTTTACCAAGTCGGTTGGCGCGAGTATCCGTGACCAATCATAGAGTCCAGTGAAGTTACACCTCGTTGTGATTGGTGGCACATGACCAGGCGCCCTGAGCAACTGAAGGAGACCAGCAGTGTATAGCCGAAATGGCGCGAACAAATGGGAAGTGACAAGATCTTAAACGATCATAATTCATCGCAAAATTTCCAATTGTAGGAACAGTCTTATCAGCAGATGATGGGGATGTTTATGAGGATAACCGTAGACGCTGGTTCAATGGCTTACTCTTCGGAGCCATCTACTAACGACAAAAGAGAGGGATACAGGTGATTGTTATCTGTAGAATGACCGAGCTTTTTATTTTGAATAACAAAAACACATACGTTGCGCATTTTTTTCGTCATTGCGCGCATGAAAATCGTACATCTGTGTTTGACTACCCTACGTCTGAGCGTATGAAATGCATCTGTGTAATCAACGTTTATGAGTGGTACTGTTTGTAAGCGTCTTGTTACAACCCTTAATTCTCAGAACTGGTCAACATCGAAATGTATAATTATCTGTTAGGTGAATTCACCTTTCGATGGTGGTGTTGTCTGCGTGTGCTGTGCTAGATTTGTGGTGAATTATTGCGGGCATTTTATTTTAAACTCCCTAGGCACTGTGCTCTTGCCGTTATCAACGCTTACACGAATATAGCGGCAAATCTTGAAGGAGAGGCTCAGCTGCAGGATTACTTGGTGCGCCTGTTAGAGCTGTTTGTACAGCTGGGATTAGAGAGTAAGAGAGTCAGCGAAAAAGCTCCTGTGGCCTTTAAGGTAAGATTACATTTACCCTTTCTCTGTGATAAGTCATGGTTTAGATATGACGTATAAAAAAGGTTACATGGTTAAAAATAGAAGCCTCTGATTCAACGTTATAACAAAACTTTCCTTGCGACTACTGCGTACAAAATTGGCAATTGTGAAAAGGAAACGAGCGATGAATTCCATCTGAATTCTTTTTCATCTTCGCTCTCCTTTTGGATGAGATGCCAGCACTGTAGGCAACCCCTACCCCCCTCCCCTCGAGCATTTTATGCAAGGTTTCCTTGAGTTCAGTTCGTAGGTACTCATACTCCAGGGTGGAGAGGGACAGTACCCATTTACACTCACATAAATATAACACAAAACCCGGCTAGGGCCCAAACCTAGACTTCTCGCGCCAGATTACAACGCGCCAACCGCAGAGGCTGTTAACCTCCCTCTGTACATTGCTGTTCACTCACATCTGTGCATTTCTTTACATTGAAACTCAGGCTTCATCCAGCGCAGGAAACCTTGGCGTCCTAATCCCAGTGATATCAATAGTAATGCAGCGACTTCCAGTCATAACTGACCCCAAGCCGCGCCTTCATAAGCTTTTCCGCGACTTCTGGCAGTATTGTGTTGTGATGGGCTTCGGTGTCGAAGGGTCCGGTATCTGGCCTCACGAGTGGTATGAAGGAGTCTGTCAGATTGCATCCAAGTCTCCACTGCTCCTCGGCACTGGTCATCTCCGATCAGAATTGATGTACAATTCTGCCTTGAGGAATGATTCCGTGGCTCCGGTATGTTCCATTTTTGTTGTGATTGTTGTTGTTTCTGGTTAACGACAGATTACGTTTAGTTGCTGTCAAATCACAGCAGTGAAATCCGAAAAGGTTTAAACCACAACGGAGACGGCAACGACGGCAACGAGGAATTAGCTCATGTTATTTAAAACTTTTGTACATTTTTTAGTCATCCTTTGGAAAACAACAACGTGAAATCCCCAAAATTTGCATCCGAGAGCAAGAACCCAGACGGAAAATCATTTGAGCTATTCACATACGTGAGAAGCGTGAGAAGCGTGAAAAGTGTGAAAAGTGTGAAAAAAAATGTGTAAAGCGTAAAAATTGGGAGTGATAGGTCTGTGTCACGAGTTTCTTCCATGAGCCCGTGAGGTTGTTAAATTAAGTGCATTGCGTGGGACAACGTTTTCATATTGACGACTGAAAAATTAAAAATGAAAAAAAAAGAGAAACTTGTAACTAACATTTCCAATTAAAATAACTTGTACCCCAAGAAACAGTCCAGAATTTTTGTTTCTCTTCATCGCCAGGCTGAACTGAATGAAGTACGCACAACTTTGCTAGAAACTCTTGGAAACCCAACAGAAATTGTGACACTGGTAAACAAGTTAAACTTTGGTCAGTGTACATACCTACTCTCAGTGTACAGGCTGGAATCACTCAGGGTTTCGTCTGATCCAGGAAAGTTGTACTCCATTTTTGACTATTTGGAGGACAAAGCTATCGAAAAAGACAAAGCTGGTAAGAAAATAAGGCTTCGGTGCACGAGCAGGAAGGCAGCATGGCTTCCGAGTTTGTGGCGCTCAAACTTAATTCATAAACTTGTTCTGCGTATCAATCGGATTTATTTTCACAGTATTTGCGAGTTCAACTTCTATACTGCGTGTTTTAATCCTTTCACTCCCAGATCTTTTCACTGATTCTCCGTACTGTCTGGTTTACAATTTTTCTGATGTTGGTTCGAAGAATTTGGTGGTGGATTACTTAGTAATTCCCTAATTAATTTTTTTCTTTATTCTCATCACTTCTCTGCTCTATATTGTGTCGATAACGTGAAGAGAAAAATTTTCCTGATCACTTAGAGGAATTAAACAGTTACTTGGAACTATTTGTGCTGAAATAGTCTTCAGCAAGTTTCCACTGTTATTTTCGGAAGTGGATTAATTCTATTCGCTCACACTGGATATTTCCTTGGTAATAGCCGACTTGTACGTTTTAAATCATCTTTAATTATTTTACTTCTTATTCATTTTGTAATCTTATCAGGAATCTGGCAATGCATTTCCGCTGTTGGAGACAAAGTGTTCTCGGTGTTTCTAAACGTAATGTCCAACAAACCAAGAACAATGGAGAGGGAGACAGAACTGGAGAGGCATGCGCAGTTTTTATTGGTAAAATTTAATCATCTTCAGAAGAGGATAAGGCGAGTTGCTGACAAGTATTTGTCTTCATTTGTTGACAAGTAAGTGGACAAAGGTGATGCGACTTAAATTGATCGTCGGAAGTAATCTGGAAATGGATTGGTTTTCAATACTACACGTTTGGATTGGTCCAAAACAACCCGCCCCATCTTTCCAACCCATCAGATGCAAAACTAGAGATATTCGCGACTTTGTCTCCATACATACATTCGTACATTTTATTGTGTATCGAGATAAAAGTACAGTAACATGCCCGCGGGTAACTAAGCGAATCTAGGCGGGTCATGTTTACAGGAAATAGATACAACTAAATACAGCTAAAAGTACCAAGAGAACTAAAAAAAGCTATAATTGACAACAATGAATAGAGGCTACTGATAAACTAATGATATTACTAATATTAAATGACAACAGTCTTGGCGGGAAATTACAGATACAATAAACGATATAATTGAATACATATCAACTGATCAATCAAGAGGAAGATAAATTCAACTTCAACTTTTTGAACGATTGCTAGGATCTCAAAAAGTGTTTGTTTTATTTTCCTCTTGAAGGCATTTTTTGAAAGTTTTCTAAAAGATACAGGCATTTCATTCCATATTTTTGTTTCGATTCTAGAAAATGAATTCCCGTGTTTTCCCGCGCTTCAGGCAGGTTGCATATTTAGCTTACTTCCCATTGGCTTCTCGTCAGATTTAACTTTGCTCTCATTGGCGATTGTGATTACTTCAATTCAGGTTTCACAACACTTAGTCGGAAGGCGCTTATCTTTTTCTAGGTTAAGTTTAATGGTAATTCAGTTTGAAGATAGCAGTTCTTGTCTCAAAAGAAATGCAATTTACTCCAAAAATTTCTTCTTGTTGTTTGTTTCGGACGCAGGTTTCCGCATCTTTTATGGAATGGCAGAGTTCTTCATTTTATGTTGGATCTTCTACAGGAATTATCCAAGTGTTTGAACCATCCAGTAAGTTAACACATAATCAAATGAACTTTTATGAGTAGTTCCAAGGGATCTTTTGGTAATTCATGGCAATCAGCTGTCAAACCAAGTGATAAATTGGGAGGAAAGAAAGAAATTCAAGGCTAGCATTTCAAAACTGTTTCAAAAGTAACAACCTGTCCAGGAGAAAGTGCTTTGCAGAGTTTACGTTATTTCATGCGTGTTTAAGTTGAGCAGAGGGGAGCATTAATCGAGCAAATTGTACGAATTGTGTGAATTGCGTGAATTATGTGAATTTCTTGAATTGTGTGAATTGTATGAATCGCGCGAATTTTGTGAATTGTGCGAAATGCGTGAATTGCGTTTTTCGCCCGTCCCGCCCTTGCATCCACTCGACTAAAAAAAACAAAATGAACACCTTCCTTATTCTGTGTACGGAAATGACGCTTTCGACATTGCTGATCTTAGCAGAGTGCAGTCCTTGTGTCATACATGAAGCTTGTGAGAGCCTAGCTCACCTTACAGTCTCTGTGGTAGAGCATCGGAGCGCAGAAGCCGAAGGTCCGAGGTTCAATTCCCGATGGGGATTATAAACATTTTCCTTCGTTCTCCAAAGCTCGTAACAAGACGAAAAAAAGGAAACATCCTCCTCTTTAATCCACTCCTTTTGGTGCTCTCTTGATATCCGTCTGCCCCCATAAAAACTGGTACAATTTACAGCCTATTAGCTCAGAATCGACTTTTCTTATGAACACAATATATTTTATGTTTCCCCTTTTCATTTCTACAATTCAGAATGAAAATCACCAGAAAATTGAGATCACTGTTCCCAGCTCTGTGCCTGTTAGGCTTTTTGTTCCTGAAGAGATGGACGGCCGAGAAGGGACAGTCAGCGATTTTGCAGCGCGCTGCAGTGGAATATTAATGGAGGCGCTCAAGTGGGCGCCGGAGACAACCAGATCATTACTGCAGGTAGGTCACCATCATCATTTTTATCAGTGCAACCGCTGCCTGGTTAGCTTATGTTGTGCAGCGCCGGACTGCCGTCCGGGATGTCGAGAGTTCAAGTCCCAGACCGGACAAGCTCTCAGGTTCTTAAAATAACTGAGGAGGATGTGCTGCCTTTGCTATGGCATCTGCAATTGGTTAGAAATTCTAGTCTTCACGGATAAGGAAGAAAAACCGTCGGCCCCGTCTCCTGCATCTTCTTCACTGGTTAATATGGGAATTTATAGAACCCACACACTTATCGCAAAGAGTAGGGAACGTAGCTCCCGGTGTTGTGGTCTGACGTTGATTCCGATTTTGGAGGCATCTGCAAAAAATTATCCTCAAATTATTAAACTGCTCAGTGCAGTTTAGCCAAAGTCCCCGGCAAAGTGTTGAAAGCACCGTGCGCAATAGGATAAGGACAGTAAAGTTGTTTGTAATAAACTTGTGTGAGACAACTCGGTTCTGACAGTCTGCGAGCACGCCATCTAGGAACATGCGCAGACGTTTGACCGCTGGCTTTCCTATATTGAGCTTATTCTCTTTTTTAGGATTACATCATGGAGCTGGGAAATGCATCTGAGGGAGGGTCCCACCACGCTGGTTTGTCTCTTGCTTCAGAGAATGTCTTGCAGTTTGCTGGACTCAACCCTTCCTCTGTAGCGGTTAGTCACGTGCTCCTTGAGAAACGACCGAACTGTGTGAAACAAGACACTTCACAAGTGGTGTCTGGACTGACTCTGAGGAGCAGATATCTGGGAGAGGTAAATATGGCAGATTTTGACCAGTATATAAACTTATACGATGAAGCCCCTATCTCAAAGGCGTGCATGTTGCAAAAATCGAGCCTATTGGTTGGTGTGCTGGATTCCGGTACGAGAGGTGGCCCGGTCATTGTGTTTTGGTCTTGGGTACCGTAATTTCCGGCCGTTTACCCGCGGGTAATCTGTTGATTTTGCCTTAAACACGCGCCACTGCGGGTAATGGGAAGGTGCGGGTTATGTGACAATTTTGAAATCTACTAGCAGTTGAATTGAAAAAAGTTCTCACCTACCTGTGTTTCCACTTCTCAAATGAATTTTATTGTATTAAGACTGCCACAAAGTGACACGAAAACTTGCCGACTCGAGTTTATTTCACGCACAATTAGTTGCGTGACGAACAAATTTTCATCGAGACGTAAACAAAACCTTGATTGTGACAAAAATAATCCACGGATATCCGGCGCATCAGTAACAAATTTCCAGCCAAAACGAGCTTGAGCTGAAGAGAATTTTCCCCTTTTAAGGGACTTGTTAGGTCCAGGAGAACTGGAGATATCGGTTTTTTTTTTGTTTTTTTTTTTGATAAATCAACAAATCAACATGGCGCTGAACGATTGCTCATTAACAAATGGTAAACACCACAACGTACACCATTGAGTTATGGATGCACGCGGGAGGTTGCTAAGCACGAAAGAAGCGTAAGAGTCGCGCGAGGCGATAGCCGAGAGCGACTCTGGCTTCTTGAGTGCTTAGCAAACCTCCCAAG